TCTCATGACTCAATGATGTTTCTCAATTTCATATCACCCTCGAATGCACGTGATGCATATGGTATTATGTTTAACTCATTCAACTAATTATGCTATCACCATTTTCTTCTCGGATCGTTCTCATGTCCAACGTACACTCGGGACTTCACATGTGCTTCAAGTACCATTTAAAGTATTCAAAATAAGAATACAATTTTCATTCATCGATAGTAGTTATTGCATAAATCTATTTCGTACTTATGAGTTTTTCCTTTTCGTGTACCAGTTAATTCTAGGCTCGGATTTTCATTGTATAACTTAGTGTATGAGATCAATTAATCCTAAGGATTTATACATGACATACTTAAGCTAAATTTTTGCTTAATCCGAACATTTAATGTTAGTAGTCGAAGTCGACTCATAAAGGGTCTAGGTTTTAATCTTGATTTTTCTTGAATTCTCTTTTTCTATTACCCTATTTATATGTCTTGTAATCATTGATCTCTACTTGCGTTCATCTTCAGTTCTTGATCTCTACTTACACAAAAGGAATTCAATGCTAATCATTTTCTCTCCTAGGCCAAATGGTCCCAAAATAAGCAAGAAATTATTTTTTCATTTCTAGGTCACTTCCTTTTTAATGACTTACCAACTCATACTTAGAAGAGTTACCAAAGAGATTTAAACCTTAAGGTCCACCAAGGAACCCAAACTTAGTGATCAAATGTCCAATTTACCGAATGAAGTCCAAAACCATATTTTTCTTTTAGTTAGGCCGAATGGGTTGTTAAGATGGCCATGGATTGCTTTCTTTTGTCTAGTGAATTTATTTTCACCTTAAAATATTAACCCATTCCTAATTGAGTTACCATGATATTCTAGGCCCTTATTTTCCCCAAAAGATCAATTCTTTTCACCTTTTCCCACTTGGTCGAATGGTTTTAGCCTAGGGAAACTCTAGAAGTGTATTCCTTTTTCTTTTCAAGTTAAGCTTACCAAACCTAGGTTAAGTTCGATCCATTTGGTCCATACCCTTTTTCTTTCTTTTTCCTTTCCAATCCATCCACACATTTAAACCTATCAAACAAGCTTTGCATGACAACAAAACACATAAATCCATCACAATTTAGCAAGCCCTAACACCAACACAAACAACCATAGCAATCCATAGAAAAATTATCACAAACCCATGAAATAAACACTAAAAAAAAATAACTTAAAAAAATAACTTAAGATATTAATAAACCAAAAATGAAACCTACTTACCTTTCTTGAATTGTCTAAAGATTGGTTAGGCTTTCCCCTTCTTTATTTTCTTTCTTTTTTCTTTTTCTTTTCCTTTCCTCTTCTTCTCTTGTTTATCGTTTTTCTCTCCCAATTTTGATGGCTACGACTGCCTAAAAATTTCTTATCATTTGCACTCTTTCTATATATATATATATATATATATATACATGCTTAAAGTCTTGGTCTAAGTAAGTGTAAAAATGGTTGGATTTAATTTGGAAAAGTGGAAAGTTAATGGTGAGTCAATAGAGACAAGTGGCGATTTGAGACAAAAATGGGTGAGTTGGCTATTAATTCATTTAATGCATTGCATAGGTGTCTACTAAAATTTTAGGTTAAATGCACACCCTAATTAACTTGATTCAAGTAAATAAACATAGTTTCCTTCATGAAATTTCGAAAATTTACTTTTTTAAAACTCGAAAATTCGTTGTCCATTCTTTTCCCAAAAATTCTAGCGAGTGATGCTTCAAGACCAAATTACACTAAAATGATCATAACTCTTTATATATATATCTAAAAATCACGAAAGTTTATAGAGAGCTAGTAGACACATAGAAGAACAACTTTTATTCTTTAAGGTTTACCCAAAAACCACTCTAAAATTCTTAAATAAGTCACATAAAATTCAAGCGAGAATGTAGCCCGCAAGACACTCGATTTTCATATATATATATGGCAAAATATAGTTCTCAGCACACCAATTTTGATATATGTATAAAATTATTTATTTATTTATTTATTTTACGAGGGTTACAAAATCGTATGTTTTTAAAACATATATATATAAATTATAAAATTAGATGAAATTTTATCTTTTATATTTAATTTAATGTATTTTAATTGACCAATAACACATTATATATTATCAAACTGAAATAAATATGTTTAGTTTGGTTTGCAAGCATAGCACAAGAATCTGAATTATTTATATGTCTATAATTCTTATTCACTCACTGTTCATATGCATAAAATTAATATTCACTTGATAGCAATTTAAGTAATTTTTGTGTGTCATTTTTTATATGTTTTTGGACACTAATATGCAAATTTAACACTTTTTTACTATTTTTCATCCCTCATGTTATAACATTTTTTTTAATCCTTAGTTTTCATTTTTCTTTCATTTTCACACTACACACACACACATACTCTATCTTTTAATATTTTAAAATTAACATATACGTAAGCTTATATTACTCATATCGGTTAAATTTCGTTCTTTGAATTTATCAATTTTTTATAAAAATTCTCATCCAATTAATGTTTTTTATATAAGATTTTATTTACTGATAAATATAATTTATTTTTCTCTATATTTGAATTTTAGAATAAAATTTTAAAACATGATTATTTTTTCCTTTTTTTAAAAAAATAAATTAGTATAATATATATCATGAATTCTAAGAATTTTTAAATGATAGTTGCGCATATATACATATATAATTATTTTATTCTAAAGGTTAAAACTATATTTCAAATAATTTATCTCAGTTCACTAGGTATGGTTAAGACATATAAAAAAACTATTGAACCATTGATTTTATTAAAAATTAACCATACATCTTCCAACATAATAGAAATTATTTTCTATGAATATATTTTTTTAACATTACATAAAAAATTTATTTGTAATAAAATAATTTTTTAAAGGAACCAACCAATAATTCAAATATAGTTTTTTTATGCTAATTTTGTCGATTATTTTGTAAATAAACATATATAGATCTAATGTATATATTTTTTAAAAAATAATCTTCTCACCAACATTAAATAAGAATAAATTTTTATTTTTTATTAGTTAATTTTTATGTAAGTCTATAAATTAATTGTGACTTTATTTTTTTGATGCATTCTTGTAATATATATATATATATATATATATATATATATGAATTTAAAGTATTTTCTTTTGAATTCTCAATTAATATTTTAGGCTTAAATTATTACAAGTTTTTATTTAAGAATCCTTACATGAAGAAGAATAAATAATTTTTTAAGCAAAAAAAATTATGAAAAACAAACAAAAAAAAATTATAATTAAATAAAAAATAATGAAAAAATATAAAATTTTTAATGATTTTGTTTTATCTACCCATAGCATTGCACGGATAATTTCAAAAAATAATCTTTTCATTAGTATTAAATAATAATTTTTTTCATTTGTTATTTTTTTATAAACTTATTTTTTGAAATAAAATATTATAAAAATTATATTTTTAAAGTTTTTTTAATTCTTGATTAATATTTTAGTTAAAATTATTATATTTTTTTATTTTAAAATTAATCCATAGTGAAGAATGATTTATATTTTTTTGAAGCAGAAAATTTATAAAAAAAATTAAAATTTTTAATTAAATAAAAGATTATTAAATTTTTAAAATAATTTTGTTTTTTTTTTTAACTGAAGCCACAGTCTAGTGTTGGCAAGCGACTAGTTTAGTCCTAAACGAATTGAACCCAAATTCAAAAGTAGAAAAGACGGGCCTTGTGAGTCTCAGCGGGAGAAAAGGAGTTGTAGGACCCGATACATGTATATCACGTTGTGGCCCGAATGCTGGGCCAGTACAATAGGAAAAGCAAAAAATTCTCAAAAAAGGCTCTAGGCCCATAAATGGACCTAGATAAACGTCCAGTACAACGCCGCAGAAATATGTGGGGGCGGATTTTGCTGAATTGAAAGTCGAATTAATGGAGTAAGGACTAAAATATTTTTTATGAAAACTTTAAAAACTCAAAAAAATATATATATAAATAAACGATCAAATTATAAAAAATTAAGGACCAAAATTATATGAACTAAAAGGAAATATTTTAACAAATTACTTTTATTTAATATTACAAGAATATAAAATAGACAAAGAAATCAGATATAAATCTAATATAAGTCTAAAATATAATTTTTTAATGGATACATACGAAATATTTTTCAAAAAATAAATAGAATAAAGTATTGGATTAATATACATAATGCTCTACCTATTATCTTCTCTATTCTGTATTTAAGAGTCATATACATCAATCCAGGTCCACCCTATAATATCTTAATTAGAATGAATTCAAAAATTCTAAATCCGTCCCATGTTCTATAGGGTCTCCTAATAAAGCACGATTAAGTTGGATAATCATAGATTATAATTCCCAATTTGCAGGGACTGGATTAGAAAGCAAAACCGAACAAATACATAATTAAAGTTAAACCCGCAATTATCAGACATTATTAAATATTATTAACCCGAACAAACGGACGAACCAAGGCATTTTTTTTGTTTTATGTTTTTACATTCCTGCGGAAATCCAGACAACTTCATCGGAACACACGTGTCAAATTACTCATTGATTAGGAACCGGACAATCAGCTTCCTTTCTCATCTCGCGGTCTACTTTTCGTCAACGTTAATTTTCTGTTTCTCTGGAGCCCAGGTTTTCTTCTCTTCATCAATCAATCCAACGAAACCAAACCCATCAGAACATACAATTTAAGGTAACGATTCTCTGTTCCTCTTGAGGCCAGGTTTTATGTCTCTGTTTTATGGTTCATCAATTTGGGGTAACTTTTTTATTTTTAATCGGAACTATGGGATTGTTTCAAAATTGAATATTGAATTAGAATTTTGTGACAATTGTTTGTGTTATTTATACCCTTTTTGTAGAATTAGCTTTCCTTTGACTTTGTTAGGATTAAGGGAGAAAAGAAGAAGCAAAATTGAAATTTTTTTTTTGGTTATAGGGCAATGGCAACGCCATCGGGGTCATGGATGCAAGAATTCAATGAAGCATCAAAACTTGGTGAAGAAATTAATGGTATGATTTCTGGGAAGAATTCTTTGCCTCCATCAGGACCAGAAACACAACGGCATCTTTCTGCAACTAGGAGAAAGATCACTATTTTGAGAACTAAACTTGATATTTTGCAGTCCCTTTTGTCAGCACTTCCTAGCAAGCAGCCAATGTAAGTCCTTTTCTTTTCTTTTGAATTCTTGTTTAGTTAGTTGTTTTAATAAATTCATTCTTTTGGGCTTTGAATTGTGCTGTGCTGCAGCGCCTGTGTTAGCAATGGACTTCCTGATGGTTCTTTAATATGATAATAGAATCCTGTTTTATGTTTGTGGTTATCCTTTTTGGCTAATGTTAAGATGTGCGCAGTTTTTCAAAGTTATTGTTAAGGAGCTGGAACAGTGGTGAATGAATGAAGTGCATGTCTTAGTTTCGAAGAAATTGTAACAGCAATTCTTTGTTTCTTATTTTTCCTTTTGTTTTATATAGAGTTTTGATTATGTGGTTGAGGTGTTCGTCTACAGGTCACTGGTTCAAATCCTAGTTTGGGTGTGTGAGTTAGGAGAGGAAAAAAAAAAAAGTTTAAACTAGAGTTGACTAGAAAGCCCTTTGTAGTCTATGCATGTTGAAAAAAAGGATCAACATGTTCATCTCTCAATAGGTATTTACCGAAATCAAATGAATGACAGGTTTATAGGGAGGTCAGAATTCTTTGTTTCTTTCTTCTTTTTGCCGTATCAAAGTTCAGTTGCTATGTGTTATGGTGTTCCTCCAGAGTTGCATTAAAAACCCTTTTCATAGGAGGATCAGATATTGAGGATAAGATGCTTAGTATTGCATAGTATTCTGCACATAAATAGGGGAAATATTTGATATGTTGATCTTTGAACAAATAATTTTCCAAAATCAGATGAACGAGAAATTCATTAGTATATAGAAGGGACAGGTTGATGCATATGATATGCTGAACTATATGTTTGCTGTAGTTTTCCATCTTGATCATGTTGAAAACCATACTTTAGAGCAAAACCATACTTAATTTAGTGTGATATGCTAAACCATAACTTAGCTACAGTTTTCATCTGACTTTGTTGAAAACCTTTGATTGATATTATCATGAACAGAACAGGGAAAGAGATGAATCGGCGTCAAGACATGCTGAAAAATTTGAGTACTAAAGTTAACCAGATGGCCACTGCTCTCAATATGTCCAGTACTGCAAACAAAGAGAACTTGCTTGGGCCTGATAAGAACACAGATGATATCGTGAATAGAGCATCTGGCTTGGACAACCATGGTCTTGTTGGCTTTCAACGGCAAATTATGAAAGGCATGTTAATATGACTTGGATGCTTTTTCTTTCACTGATTTCATAATGATGTAACGCAGATTTGTAACATGATTCGCATAAAAACTGCAGAACAAGATGAGGGCCTTGAGAAATTGGAGGACACAGTGACAAGTACAAAACACATTGCACTGGCTGTCAATGAGGAACTTACCCTACACACTAAGCTTCTGGTGGGTGTTGTTGTTTTATTCTGTATTTTCCTTTTGTATAATCTCCTTGCATTTTCATCATCCTTTTTCATGCTGGAGCTGTTTGCGACCTTTAACTCAACATTCCCTTGTCTTCTTTGATGCAGGATGACTTAGACGACCATGTGGATGTAACAAATTCCCGTCTACAGGTTTGTTTTTCACTTTTAGTTTTGCTATTCACAATCCGTTGGTATTCACTAGGGCCTTTACTTGTGTGAAAGAGTTGATCTTTTGATATTCTTATGTGCCAATTTCTGGATTTTAACCTTTAAGGTGTCTGGATTATACTTTAATGTAATGTTTTGTTGTTATTTATGCGACAGATGGTTCAAAGGAAATTGGCTTTTCTGAACAAACGCACCAAAGGTGGCTGCTCATGTTTGATCTTATTGGTCATTGCCATTGTCGCTCTAATTGTTGTCATATGGGAACTGTTTAAATATTTGTAACTTTGAAGATAGCAAGCTCGAAATTATGGTGTCTTTTTTCAGCCTGTGGCCCTTTGTGGACTTGCATGGCTACACTTTCACGGCAGAGGGAAAACGTTTGTTGGTCTTATGGTTGTGTGTACAAGTGTAATTAACTCATCATTAGATATGTATTGATGATCATTATCAGCATGATTAACATGCATTTCAAAGGATATGTGAGGACTAGTTGTTATGCATCAAATAGAACCAATTTCTTGATTACATCTTTGCTCCATCATAGAAGAGGAAGATGTGTTCTCTCTTCTGCTAAGTAATTGCCCTCCATTGATATGAGAATGGAATTCATGCATGACCTTGAATCTTGGATCCAACGAGAGCAAAAATCCTACCACGCACTAAAGCACTGTTTGGCTCCGCGTTTGAAAGCGTCCAAATACTAAAAGTTGGCGTTTGGTTTTCAAAAATTGAGTGCGGGCCGACCAAACAGGTCCCGCGCTCCAACTACAAACATTGAGAAACTTCCCGTTTTGGAGTTTTTTCATTTTCGGTGCAAGCTTTTTCCTTAACCACCTTATACTGTATTATATTTATTAATTTATATAAAAAATATTTATGAAATGCTAAAATAACTCCTTTTTTCGGTGTATATATATATATATATATATATATATATATATATATATATAAGAGCATTTCGAATTCAGATAAAAAAAAAATGGAACAAATTTTTTTAACAACCTAACTAACTTTTTAGGATTAAATTTTTGGACAATGAACTCTAAAAATTATAATGGTTTAATTATTATCTATCCATAACTAATGGATAATCCATGTTTTACCTTATTCGACGGTGGGGGACGCTACCGAGGCCGCTCATATATTTAAAAAAAAAAAAAAAAAAATCCACCGTTGTAATGTATAACAGCCCAACTAATTCTTATTATTTACAAGATTGCCAGTCTCTTCTTGTTATAGAAACTTTTTGATCGATTTGTACAGCTAGACACAGGCGAGTAAGCCGAAGAATTCTTCTCTTCATTTTCTCTACACAAACAGAGCTTATGCACTAGAAACATTTCTCAATTCTCAAAGCATATTCACTCCTTCTCGTTTTTGCTAAGGTAAGTAATAATCAAATAGCCATTCAATTGTTCTATTTTGTTTATTTTGCATTTTTTTAGTGCTTCATTGATTTTGAAATTTAGCTACGAATTGAATTGAATTGAATTCTGATCGAAAGAGACTTACATATCTTATTTTAATAAGTAATGGGCATTCTGAAAGCTCAGTTCTTTCGTGAAAATTTGATCCGTTTTGATCAAATTGGAAGTAGTCATTGTAATTGTAGGGGAAATGGCATCACCATCAGAATCATGGATGCAAGAATTCAATGAAGCATCAAAACTTGGTGATGAAATCAGTGGCATGATTTCTGGGAAGAATTCTTTACCTCAATCAGGACCAGAAACACAACGGCATCTCTCTGCCGTTCGGAGAAAGACCACTATTTTGAGGACCAAACTTGATGTTTTGCAGTCCCTTTTGTCAGCACTTCCTAGCAAACAGCCAATGTAAGTGTTTCTGTCATTATGTGTGAATGGTTCCGTAGTATGGTAATGGAATCTTGTTTTATGTTCATGGGTCTTTTTTTTTTTTTTTTTTTTTTTTTTTTTTTTTTTTTTGAAAATGTTAAGGTGTGTGCTGTTTTTGGAATTTAATTCTAATCTTAAGGAGCTAGGACAGTGCTAAATGAGTAGAGTCGTGTTAGTTTATATGAGAATGTAGCAGCAGTTATTTTTTCCTTTTCCTTTTTTATGAAGTTTTGGTGAATGTTAAGTTGTGGGCTTTTTTTTTTTCAAATTTAATGTTAATGCTAGTCTTTTAAGGAGCTAGGACACGGCTAAATGTGTGGAGTACTGGTGTTACTTTAGATGATAATCTATCAACTATCAACAGGTGTTGTTTCATTTTTTGGTTTTGTTTTGTTTTATAGAAAGTGTTGGTGGTGATGTATGTGGTTGTGGTGTTCAATGTTCATCCACAATTGTATAGAAAGCCCTTTTCATAGGAGGATTGAATATTGAAGTAGATACTCACTATTGTGTACAGTTGAAGAGTGGAAATCTTTTGATTTGTTGACCTTTCGACAGATATTTTACCAAAATGAGATGAATGAGTCATTTATAGATAGGTATAAGGGGCGAGGGAGGGTAGACTAACAGTGCCTGTATGATATGCTAAGTGGTAATTTGCTGCTGCTTTCTTCCTGATCTTGATGGAAATATCTGACTGCTATTTTCATGACCAGATCAGGGAAAGAGATGAATCGGCGTCTAGACATGCTGAAAAATTTGAGTACAAAAGTTAACCAGATGGCTACTGCTCTCAATATGTCCAGTGCTGCTAACAGAGAGAACTTGCTTGGACCTGATAGCAAGACCGACGATATTATGGATAGAGCATCTGGCTTTGACAACCAGGGCCTTGTTGGTTTTCAACGGCAAGTCATGAGAGGCATGTCTTACAACTTTTTTTTTTTTTTTGTTGGCTTCTGTGGTTTTCGGAATATGCAATGCTGATTCTTTACTTGTTTTGCATAATAAAACAGAACAAGACGAAGGCCTTGGGAAATTGGAGGAGACAGTGACAAGTACAAAACACATTGCATTGGCTGTCAATGAGGAACTTACCTTACACACTAGGCTTCTGGTGGGTGGTGTTGATTTATTTCCCATTTGTCCTATTTATAATCTCCTTGCATTTTCACCATGCTATAACATTTTGGAGTTGATTGCAACCTTTAACTAAATATGCCCTTCTCTTCTTTATGCAGGATGATTTAGACGAGCATGTGGATGTAACAAATTCCCGTTTACAGGTTTGTTTTCTAGTCTTTAGATTGGCGGTATGCAATTGATTGATGTTAATTTTTATTTTGTTAGCAATAAAATAACGGATTGATTTAGGGTTTTACTGTGTGAAAGAGGTGAGTTTTCAGTGTCTTTTAATAATCTTATGAGTAAATTTATGGTTGCCTGAATGGTAAGTATCACATTAACCTGATGCTTATATTTGTTATGTTTGGAACAGAGGGTTCAAAGGAATTTGGCTTTTCTGAACAAACGTACCAAAGGTGGCTGTGCTTGCTGGATCTTTCTGGTCATTGCTATTGTCATTCTAATTGTTGGCGTGTGGGCATTGATTAAATATTTGTAATGTTAATGATAGCAAGCTCAACATTCTGATTTTGTTTTGGCCTTGTGTGCAATTGCCTGGAAACACTTGCATGGCAGAAACAGACAATGTGTGTTGTTCTTTTGGTTATGATTTAAGTGTGTAATTAACTCATGTATAGAGAGGTATTGGCCATTGTTGACGGGGATGATAAATGCATCGTAATGGATGTGTTTTTTTTTTTTTTTTTTTTTGTGCAATTTTAATGAATGGGACGAATTTTGGATCACGTTGGCAATTGGATTAAGGGTTGCTCAGGTTATATTAGTCAGCTCATGCATGTTCTCCGCAAAGGTAACCAGTATGCAGACTATATATATGCTCATCTGGGTTCAGGTTTTCATTCTGTAATGCAGGATTGGGAATCGCCTCCTCTCCTCCTGCGCTAGCATGTTATTTGCTTGCTGATAAGATGGGAGTGATATCCTTTGTAGTTGGTCTTTCTTTTTTCCTACAATAGGAACTGATATCTTTTCTTTTTTCTTAGAAAATAGAACTTCTGTTCAATTAACTAGAGATTGGAAAAGGAAAACATTTCTTGTGCCAATCTATTCAAATTTCTCCAAGGAAAAGTCCTTAAAAAAAAAAAAAAAAAAATCATCACGTTTTTTACGAATCAAAGGTTTTTGTTGCTTCGGTTCGCATTTTAGGTGTTAGCCTATTAATGCATGTATAAGGGGGATTTAAACTGTTTAATTTAATTGAAAAGTGCATGTGTGGGTACACCTGGTCTGCCCTTGCCGTTCATGCAACTAATGGGGTCCAATAATTCCGATTGCTTAGAATCATAATTTTCAAGATAACATTATATTTTTCATCACCGTACCTTAATAAACAAATGGCAACTATCATTCTTATAATTATAGCTCCAGAAGTGTAAGAAATAAATGTTTTGACTTAGTGTCAAGTATACAGTTTCATTTATTTACAGCAGTTCAACAAATTTTTGTTTCCTTATCTACTGGTTTTGTTTTGATGTAGAATCTTCTTGTTTCTCTAGATATTGAAAACACCCTTTGAGGTCATATTATTTGATTATCATAGTAACCGCTTGATGCTTATGTGTAAAGAGGTAGAGGTTGGAATCTCCTTATTTATTTTTCTCGCGTTTCCACTTTTGTTTGCCAATTCCCAAAAGCGTCCACTCGTACATGAAAGCATGTAGTGATCCACTGTTCCTGTTTCAGAGAAACTTGCATGAGCTGAAGTAAATTATTATTGTCAATGTTGAGGAAGAAAATGGACTCTGGACTGCTTAGACATCTCCCTGGAGGCATTAAAAACATACCATGGAAGTAATTTGCATTGTGTGTTAGTAGATAACCAACATGATTCACTTTTACTTGTGTTGACTAAAGCTTAGCAGTGAAATTGGCAGTAAGTGCTGGTGGTAGACATCAATAGAAAAGCCTAATTGTGCTGACAGAAAAAACATGGTGATTTTTTCAGATCTGAATATGTCTAATTTTCCGTGTAGTGTTTAAGATTGGAGAAATTTGAAAAAATACAGCTGACAGCCTGACCTTGCTATAGATTTTACATGCAGCTTGCTCAACGTACAGAAGTAGTTTACCTTAAGATATTTCATGCCAATTGGACAGTCCAGCTGCTAATTGGATAAGCAATTGATCAATTTTTTTTTCGAACAATTTCCATTATTTTGGGTTTTTTGTTGCTTGCTAATTTCAAGAAAATGATAGGCCGTGCCTTTCCTTGCTGAAAATCTGTTTTCTGTGATCCTTCAATGTGATTCTCTGTTTGTACTTTATCACTTAAATTTAGGTAGCTCTTTGATGAACTTCATATGATTCAAAATGGTAACAAATTGGCTTTGCTTGTCTTTCATGGTTAGGAAGTGTGAGGTTGTTCCATATGTTATGTAAATGCAACGATGTAGAATGTTCCATATGTTATTGGCTTTACCTGATCAAATTGTTCATTCTGAATGTGCTATTGTTGTTGGAGATGGAGGCTAAATATGAGGGATTATTATGGTGGGAAAAGGAAGAAGAAATGTAAACTATATTTTAGCCCTTATGGATTCATCAATGTTCCATTCTGGCCCCTTATAATTAAAAAAAAAAACAAATTATGTAACTTTTGTTTGTTCCAAAGGTTTCAACGACCGATATCTAATTTTAGATATTGCAAGAAGGCAAATTTGGCGGCAAAAATCTTTGGAAAAAAAAATTGTGGTGGTTTGATTCTTAACTAAGCTTCATTATCCTACGAATAAAAATGAGCGTATTGAAAGATAGAAAGTTTTTTGTTTTTTTTTAACTTGAACACGTGTCTTGCTTTTGATTAAATAGTTGGCAAATCACATCCTGTAACATTGTAATTGTATTGTCCAGGATACAGACTGGATGGACTTGGGTCCACTAGAATTAATGTCTACAGATTTGGAATCATGTTGATGGAAATATTCAGGGGAAAAAAACCTACGATGAAATGTTGGAGGGAGAAATGAGGTTGAAACGAAAGGTCAAAGAATCGTTGCCTGATTCGGATTCAGTAATTGACATTGTGGATAGCAATATGCTAAACAGAGGAGATGGCTACTCCTTGAACAAAGAGCATTTTGTCACATCTATCTATAATGGACTTGGCTCTTCAATGTACTAATGAATCACCATGGTTGAAATCCTTGCAAGGCTGAAAAAGATCAAAGGGGAATTCTTGAGAGGCTGAGGCCATAAGATACATCAACTTGCACTACTTCACAGTTTTTCCACTTTTTCTCTGTGTAATTTAAATTTTCTAGTCAATAGTCTTAGCTTTGTTGCTTTAATTAGCATATGAAGGGACCTTGGTTTGTTCAGTTGAAGAAAAAGGTACTTGCACTACAGACACCATGCCATAATGGAGAAGAAGCGTTTGTATTACTGTAAGTTTGAATATCCCTTGAATCGAAAAAACAAATCTAAGTAAAAACTAGGGAAAAAATTAACCAAAGAGAGGAGAGAGTTTTATGTTCTCCTTCACATTATATTTATAATCAATAAGAACATAGAATAGCAGAAACTCGGTGACTAGAAAATCTCTCAATTATCTCCTAAAAATCAAGAGTTATCATAATTCAATTACAATTCATAAGTATTGCTGATTTCTTGTTCTGTTTTTGCTGTCAATTTCGGACCAATTACAAGCAGAATGGGAGTTTTCTCTCTTCAGGAGAGTTGCAACCCTACTCCCCATCTTTCCAACGCTATAGGACTTGCACCAAAAAAAAGTCCACAACTCAAGTTATGGGCTGAATACCGAGACTGTCTCAACCAGTCCACAATCAGTCCATCTAGACTCAGAAATTCAAGTTTGCAGTTAATTTCCTCCTCCAAAACGACCTAATTTGAACTTAGGCTCTTGTTAAAGTTGTAGATGCGGTCCTAAACTCTTCAATGGGCTTAGCATTACATTGATTGAAGGTTTAAAACTCAAGATATTAAATAAAAATTACAATTAGTTCGAATATTTTCATCCATAATACCATTTTGAAAAACTTGAGATGTACTCTACAAAAGCTTTGAATGCTACTTCTTCCAAATCCAATGTCAAATCCACTAAAAACATGTGAAAAGCTCGGAAAGTCCAACTCGATATTTCAATTTCCTTAACTTTAAACACGGTTACTCTCGGTTTCTAATTTATGTCTTATACATAAATATGAGCATTTAATCAAACATAAAACATATCCAATAAACTAAATGTAAAGAGTAATAATATAAAATAAAGCATTTATCAATATCATTCAAGCGAAGGAGAACATTTTCACACTTCTTCGTCAAATAAAGTTACGGAAAGATAATCCATAGGCTAGATATATTGAGTCCCGGATGAGGAAATATTGGTTCCGGATATTATTTCTCCAATTTATCTACGACCACTCGCAAATACCCGGACAAGGCTTGGGGGCTAGAAAGCCTTGTCCGACTAATTACAACACATCCACCGCGTGGTTGAAGCCGGTAAGCTTCTCCGAATGCCTAAGTGCTAGATTTTACCGAAATCAAACCCACTCGACATATTTGGTATATATTAGTTTGATGTGAGTACACTAAATTATATGGATTGAAGAGGAAAAAAAATATATATTTTTTTTGTATGGTTTATTGATGTTTTGATCAAAATTTTGTATTTCATTAATTTTTCCTTTAGCTTTTCTATAAATTTACATTTTAATAAAACATGATTTTTTTTTCTTTATACATGAATCCTTAAATAAATAATTATAATAATTTAAAGTGTAAGTTTCAACCAAAAAGCCCCAAAAAAAATGCCTTGATTTTTCTTTTTTTCATAAGATTGTATAAAAAAAATAAAGTAACAATGAATTTTAATTTTTTATTAAAATTAACAAATAAAAAATTATTCTTATTGAATATTAATAAGGTAATTATTTTTTGAAAGTGTGTACATTAGGTTTATATATATTTATTCACAAAATATTAAATAATATTAGAATATAAAGAAACTACAATCTTATTTGAAAAGTATGGTATCATCGAATGGTTTTAAAGATATTATTTATTTGAAAAGAAATTGATTTTAGAATATCTAATTTTAAATAAATAAAGAGCGAATTGTCAATGTTTTATGTGTAGGTGGATAGTTGTGTGTTAATAAAACCTATGATTTATTTCTTTTATACTCAATGAATATATTGATTGGGCTTATAGTCATCTTAAAATAAAATAAAATAAAACATTTACTCGAGCATATAGAGAATATATTGAATAAATTTCAAGTTAATGGACGATTTAAACTATTACTAAATAGCGTCAAATTAACTTATGTTACATTTAGGGATAGATTTGTAACTAATTATCAATGATGTATCAATTTTCGTCGATAAATGGATTTTTTGCAACGGATTAGCTATAGAAAACAACGATGGGACGTTGATACCATTGCTAAAAAAATTGTCTTTTAGCAATGGTCAATTCCTCTCTCAAAGGTCGCTATTTAGTGATGGAAATTTTCTCGTCACTAATTGTTGAAATTTTGGGTAGCCTTCGAAAATTCAAAGGCGCCGGATGTTGATATCTAATGACGAACACTAATATCTTTCTCCAAATAAGGACGGATCAATGACGGAATCGTTTACGTTGTTGATCTAGGTTTTTTAAAACCAAGCGGAACCCTCCCTCCTCATTTTTCCTCATTTCTCTTCCTCCCTAAGGTTGTCGCCATCCTCCCTCAACCCCTTAAATCCTCCATAAAACTCTTTTAATCCACCAAGGGTGTTCGTTGTGTAATTTGGTTCGGTTTCGAAATTTTTTGACCAATTTTCGGTTAACCAAATTGTCAAAAAAAAATAGCTTAAACCAAACCAAATTGTTATTCGGGTTTTCGGTTCGGTTTCGAAATATATCAATTTTTTTATTCGATAATTTGGTTTTCACCTATAATTAATACTCAAGATTTTTTTATTTTCTTATATTCCTTTCGATAAAATATTTTACAATTAAATTGGTCAATGTAAAATATTATATGGTCAATGTTTAAATTTAGTTCATTTGTTGAAGAACATTTTCAACTCTTGAAGTTTTATAAAATAAATGATAAATTAATCCCTCTAGTTTTGAGAAACAAATTTAGTCTCTATATTTTTTTCAATTTATTTTGATTTTTTATTTTAATAAATTAAAAAAAGTAAAAAAAAAAAAAAAAGAAATAATTGATGAGAAAATTTTAAATTTTTTAAAATAAATTAATATTAATTTAAGCATGATCAACATTGATTAGTGAACTAATATATAATTTACTTCAATTTCATAAAATATTTTTTGAATATGAATCCACTCAAGATACCATTCAACTATTTCAATCACCACAACATTCACTCGTCGTTAGCACCACCACCACACTACCATTGCCACCTCATCACCACAATATCATTATTGTTGTACTATAATCATTAAAACCCGCCAAATCTATCAAAACCATTGAACCTACATATCCTATAATCATATAGGCTGAAATTGGTTCTTTAAAGCCTAAGACTTTCTTTATTATTGTCTCTCTAATAGAACCTTCTACCTATACATAAGCAGCTAATGATCCCAAATGGCTTCATGTTATGGATGAAGAGATCAATGTTTTTCTTAAAAATGGAGCTTAGGAACTAGTTCCTCATCAACCTCACTTCAATGTCATCGGAAATAAGTGGGTTTATCGCATCAAAGCCATACCTATTGAATAGATTGATTACTATACAATCCATCTCGTGGCTAAAGGTTTTCATCAACTTCTACGGATCGATTATCGTGACACTTATAGTCTTGTTATCAAGCATATAGTGATTGATCTCACTCTTTCTCTTACGATGAATCAAAATTGACAAGTTGAACAACTTGATATATCTAATGCATTTCTTCATGGTCCTCTCAAAAAAAAAAAAATGTTTACATAGTTCAACCATGGGATTTTGTTGACCCCAATCGTTATACACATGTTTGCAAGCTAGGAAAATCAATTTATGGCTTGAAACATGCACCGCATCAATGATACCACCACCTTACTAACAAGCTTCTTTCTATGGGATTTCACGGCTCTCAAACTAATGTCTTCTTATTCTTTAGAAGGTCCAACACGAGACTTAATTTTTTTCTTATTTATGTTGATAACCTTATTATTATAGGCACCAATTCGGACACTATTTCTGCCACCATTCTCTGCTCTTCGGAATGAATTTGAGGTTCGTTGGTTAGTCATTTACATTATTTCTTAGGGATTGAAGTTCATTGGAACAAAATCAGCCTTCTTCTCACTCAAGAAAAGTATGTCGGTGATTTATTGGGCAAGACCAAATTGTAAGAGGCTCGATTAATTAGCACACCGAGCTTGTCCTACAATGAAGCTCTCTATTAAAGATGGGAAACCCTTTGCTAATCCGTTTTTATATAGAAGCATTATGAGGGGCCTTCGGTACTTGAATATCACTCGTCCCGATATTGCTTATCCACTAGTATACTTGGTAAGCATATCCTATAGTAGCTCCAAAGCATGAAGCATTATGGTTTGCAACTACAATGATCGATCTCTCCAACCATCTAAGCCTATACTTATACTAACTCGATTGGGATGAAGATATTGATGATTGGAAGAGTACATCGAGTCATGCCATTTATTATGGTAAAAATGTTATTTCTTAGCTATCTCACAAATAATGGATAGGAACTACATCCTCTACTAAGGTTGAGTATCATGTCTTAGCCACAACTCATTCCGAGATTGAATGGATTGAGTGCCTTTTCTATAAAATTATTCCTCTCTAACACTCCAAGTCTACTATCTAGTGTGATAATGCTTTTGTGTCTATCTAACTAACACTTCTATATTTCATTCTCAATCTAAACGACTTGAAATTGATTTTCACTTTATTCGAGATAAAGTGAAACAAAGTGCATTACACGTGCCTACTTGTCCATCCAAAAGTAGATCGCTAACATTCTTAGTAATTAAGCTCGTCCCATCGCCACTTTCTCCGAGTTATGTGAGAAGTTGTACATTCTATAGAGAGATGCACAACTCGTGGAAGGATGATAAGAAAGAAACATGTCATTGATCTCTTGCCTTCTTTGTCATTGTAACATTAGTAGTCTATGCTTATCTCTTGGCTAATG